AGCAACATAAAAAAAAGTTTAAATAGTCATATAAATAATAGTTTAAATATATTATTTATCTATTGTATTATTTAATCTTGATTCTTTTAAATTATCAAAATAGGAAACTTGACAAAGTGTTAAAGGCTACAGTAAATAAAAGAAGAGATTTATCTTCTTTATGTGATGTTATGTCTGCAAAGTTAGGAGACTTTATTACATTATTCTGCACAGCACAAAACCAAGACTTAAGACCATAAGACAAAGGTTTAAGACCTAAGACCAAGACATCACAAAGTAAAACCAAGGCCAAAAACAAGACTTTAGACAAGACATGGATCAAGACTTATAGATGCTCAACACAATAAGGAGTCATGCTAACATCTGCATATATTTTATTACACTTTTAGCTGATGTTCTATTTTACCATTTATACATCTCGGAAAAGTACCCATTTTACTTTTACTTATGAAAATATCAAAATAGAGTAAACCCTACTCTGATATTATTGTTTATACTATAAAATTTAATTTTTTAATTAAAAAAAAACCAATGTTATAGTATAAACAAAAGTATCAGAATATGAGAGAATGTGCTTTATTCCGTTTTTGTATTTTTACAAAGTATATGAAATATTCTAAACACACACACACACACAAAGAAAATAATTTTTTTTCTATTGCATTAATTAATCTTGATTCTTTTGAATTATCATAATTAATTTCACCTTGCCACTGTTACATTCCTAATCTATACAAGTTTGATTATGAACCATAGAACACAAACATTTGTTTGACTTCAAAAATTTTGACTTAATTTTGTCAGCCTGAGCTTTCTTCATCTTCTCAACATGTGAAACAAATAAGTCAATCAATTTTTCGCATATTAACCATTTTAAATTAACATTTTTCTTGAAATTAAGAAGTATGATTTCATGATTACAACTGTGTTACAATTTACATTTTATGATGACAACTGATTTTATTCTAATTTTGACAATGCAAAAACATGTCTGTTCATGAGGAAAAACATGTCTATTCATGAGGAAAAACATGTTTGTTCATGAGAAAAGCAGCAAAAAAAAAATATAAAAGATTATTATTGAAAACATTTTTTGTAAAAAAAATACAAGCAATAACAGAATAATAAGTGAACAAATAAAAAATCTTTTTTGTTGTTAACAAACATTTTATATACTGAATGCTGATAAAATTGTTGTTTACAATTTGATATCCTAGTTTAAGACCAAAACTAAGACCAATTAACTATTGCACAAGACCAAGACATAAGACTTTAAGACAAAAAACAAGACCAAGACATCACAAAGTCAACCCAAGACCAAAAACAAGACTTTTCACAAGACAAGGATCAAGAAATATACTCTTAGATGTTCAATATAATACACAGTTAGGACTCATGCTCACACCTGTATGTATACTATTACGCCCTTAGCTGATGCATTATTTTATCATTTATGCATCTCAAAATAATACGCATTTACTTTTACTTATAAAAAGGTCAAAATAGAGTAAACCATACTCTGATATTTTTGTTTATACTATAAGTTAGGCTTTTTTAATAAAAAACAAACAAACTGAAATGTGTTTTAATTTGTTTTTGTTAACTTCATGTCCATGTCCAACTTCAGGTTCATCTTTAGTCCAATAATTTAGTATATCAGATAAAATTATTTAAAATGACATTTAAGATTAAAAAATACAAGGTAAGTTATATACAACAAGTAAAATAATAAAAAAACCAAATAAATAAAACCATTTTAAATTAAAAACCATTTGACGATTTTTTTAGTGATGTTAAATTAATACTTTGCAGAAGCAAAGTAAGAAACAAAAAAAACAATTGTGAAGTAGCTAATATAAGAATGAACATAATTTAAAAGTTTTACAATAAAAAAAAACTTTTTTAAGGAATTTATTTTTAATTTTATGTTGACTATAAAAACTTTTATATTTCTTTAAAACACAATTGTTGTTTAAAGTCAATATAATTTATAACAAAAAATTTAAACCATAAAAATTTTTTAAATATTTAAATTGAGCATACAAAATACAAAATTACACAAATAAAAACTAGATAAAAAATAAAAATTTGAGTAAAATTTGTAAACTACCTCTAAAACTGATAATGACTTTATTTTAGTAAAATTAATTTTAAGAAAAATAGATTTTGAAGGATTTATATATACAAGGCCATGCACAGGAACTAAGGGCCCCTTACTCAAAAAAAAAAAAGACCCGCTCAAATTTTTCAAAATGGCAAGATCAATTGTTTGTTCTTGTCCCATAGTTGAGCACAATAGATTCTTGATGAGCTTTAATTTACTGAATCGCTAACTTAAGGTCACTGGAATTTAAGCAATCATTACATTTCTTAAGAGTTCCTCAAGTTTCATTTCAGAAATTTTGTTTAATAAGTCAAATGGGGCAAGAGTTATTTATTTGAGTTTTTATGCTATATTTTTCTATACAATGTTCTTATATCCGAAGATATTGTTGGCTTAGCATAGGAACAGCCACAAATAGTCATTAAGACTAATCCAAAGTAGCGTCCGTTATTGACCAACATTTTTGCGTACCGAAGTACTACTCAAGCGCTGAGTTGGCGGTAGCGGGATTTGAACTCGTATCGTTCAACAGTCCGGGTTTTCACTTTTCTTTTAACGCTCTAACCATCTGAGCTATCCCGCCACTGTATATTAACGAGGACTTTTCGCAAGAAACGATTGAACAACGAAGGAAACTTTGGGAAGAGGTGAAACGACTTCGAAGTGAAGGTAAATACGCCATTTTAAAATATAATAAAATATTTAGTCGAGATTTTAAAGACACAAGAGGTGTCTTTTCAAAACTTGCATAAACAGAAGACCTTCCAGAAGATCTTCCAGACCAGGATTAGAGGCTGTCCATTATATACGTCCATTATATACATTCATTATATAACAATTTTTCAGCAATATTTATTTAAATAAAAATTAAAAGCAACCTAAGGAGACAGAACAGCCAAAAGTTGCAACTTTTGGCTGACAAAAGTTGCAACTGAAAGGACAGCAAATTAAAACAAAGTTTTAATTTGCTGTCCTTTCCATTTTGGTCTAGGTGATATTAATAACTTATTAAAAAGTTGCTCAAGTTCATTACAAAATCTGACAATTTTTTCATTTCCAGCTTTAAAATTTTAAAGTTCTAAAATGTGTTTGTAAAATAAAATTGAAAACAAAATAAAACTGAAAACAAAATAAAATTAAAAACAGAAATAAAATTAAAAACAATATAGTATTTTATTTGCGCAATTTTTTAAAAATAATCGTCTAGACCATGTGTATTTTGATTTCTTTTGTTATAAGTTTTTCTTTTAAAATATTAGATAAAATAATTTTTAACCTAAATAATAATGCATTTTTATTAATTTACTTTGTAAATATTAAAACAAAAATTAACACATTTTTTCTCTGATTTTCAAAAATGTAATTTTTGGTATTGAGGTGATCTTATTTCATTATTTATATTTCCATTATAACATCCAATATATATTAAGGTGGGGGCTTAAAAATTAAAAAATTAATATATATTAATTTTTATTTTACAGACATATATGGAATCATAATTAACTTTAATGTTCTTAAAACATCTTGTGGAAGAATAAAAAGAATATTCGCGAACACTAAAAACCCGCCAAATTTGCGAACAAACTAATTCTATTGGTTCAAAAAACACGCTGACTAAGCGAAATAAAGTTCTAGAGTATTCTGTTGAAATGTTTTAGCAATTGTATTATTTACGATTTGTTGCGTTTTGAGATATCTAGCATAAATTTTTTTAAGAATATATTATCAAATGAACTATTACTTTAATATTATGGCTCATTCATGGAGCCACATCTGTAAAGCTGTAAAACATTCAAACTATTATCATTTGTTTACAAAAATAAATGTTTTATAATATATATTTTTTAAATTGTCAAAATTTTGAAAGTTAATTACAAATTATATATTTTATTAGTAGATTCTTAATTTTTATATCTTTTCTTAGTGCTTGGTTTAATTAATTGTTCGTTAGATTTGTAAAAAACTAACGAACAATTAAAAAAATAAACTTTTAATAAAATAAGTAACTAAAGTTAGTTAATGAGTAAAATTTAATAGTAAAATTTTTAAAGAATTTCTAGAATGTTTCCAATGACGTCATGCTCTAAAACTCCTATGAATTAAATGCGCTTAAATAAATTATCTGTATAATGCGCCTGGAAAATCGCCAGAGAAAACGGAGAAGACGAGTTTCGACTAAAACAACAAGATTTGTTTTTCTTGGTATACATTTATTAATTAGTTTTAATCAAAAAAAATTTGCTCAGATGTTTTTTTTTAATATTCTCTTTAATATGAACACAACATGTCTCGGGACTTGGTAGTCCCTTTAACATTCTTAAACATAAATGATAAAAATATTTTGTACCTTTCAATCTCTTGTAAAAAAAAAAAAAAATAAAGTAAAAAGCTCTATATCAGGGGTTTCCAACCTTTTTGAACTCTATAAAACATTCTAGAATATCAAAAGGGTGGTAAGCACCACTTATTTTTAATCGGGACAGTACATACATGTGACTACTTCAGGTTTTCTGCATGTACAAGTTGATGTGCTAATAGCACTCCCATTACAGAATAGCATATGGCTTGCAATGAAACAAATTGCGACAAGTACTGTCAGCAAAGGAAGCACTCATACATACAATATTGCAAACATATGAATGTGTTTAATAAACATAGGCAATCAAATTATTAAAACATTATCAAATAAATAAAAGTATTTAGCATTTTAATTAATATTTATGAAAAATTTCACTGCCTAATAGTGGCAGACACATACAAATCATTTCCCGGGCGCTATGGTACCTGGGGGCACAGAGTTGGGAACCACTGCTCTATATTAGTAAACATCTTAGTAAACACCTGAATGAATATCTAAAATAGTCTCACCAAAATGCAACAAAGTTCGTAAACTTACCTAAAATAGAAAACAAAAATGAAGATTCTTTATAGGTTTTTTTTGAAGAATCCAGGTTAACAAGAAACTTTAATAAACTATTTGGGTTTTTATTGGCTAATCCACAAATCATTGATAAACAACTCTTCAGCCTCTTATTGGCCACAATCTTATCACTACTTAAACAATTATATGCATATACAGATGCACAAAACTCCATTATTGTCAAATGAACAAATTGATAATAACAACCAAGATCTATTTCAATCCTTTCTATAAATCCAAAGAAATTACCTTCATTTTTATCAAAGTCATTAGTAAAAGCTTGAATTTCATCTTTGGAAAAAATTATTTTATTGTTAACAAACATTTTATATGCAATTTTACAAATATTTAAAATATACTTTTTATTGGAACTATCTTCCATTATCTCATATATCAGCTTATTGTTTTTTATGATATGTTTTCGCAAAAAGTATAAAAAAATATTTGCATACAAATCTGTCATTGTTAAGAAAGAATTTGTATCTATTTTTTTCGAATCACTTATAATTTTACACATTAAAGATAAATAAAACGGAACAGATGCCATGGCTTTTGCGATTGGAGACTCCTTTAAAGTTGTTTTTACAAATTCTTTTTTTTCTTCTGTAACATGATTTTCTACATAATTATTTATTCCATTTTCATTAAACCCCATTACTTGAATGGTTAACTTATCGCTATGTTCTGTAGATATACTTTGGTATTGATCTATTGCATAAACTCTACCAGCAATTACATGTCTGTATTTTTGAATTTCTGCTAAAGCATTAACAATCGGATAGTTACAAGTCAAACTTGGGTTTAACAATTCATTGAAATATTTAAACTCATCTAATCCATCAATTAAAAACAATGCAGTATGATTACTAATATTAAAGTTGTTTACAATATCTTTGTAGAACACATTTAGTAAATCATTAATATTAGAAATATATGGATATTGATTAATTCTCCTGCATTCTAAATAGAAAACAAGTTCAACATTTTTCCAAATTAAATCATTTGACCAATCAAGCAAACATTTTCTAAGCAACCATGTTTTCCCAATACCAGCTATTCCAGATATTAATATTACTGGTTTTTCTTTCATAAATATATCACTGTATGGAATTGGTGTATAACGAATTTGCTTTTCAAGAAATTCCTTTCGTTCAACACTGAAAATAGCATCCATTTGAGCATTCACTGCATCAACAATACATAGATCAACAAATTTTTGTATGAGATCAACATTTGCAGATGCTTTTAATAGTGGTTGAAGTTCAGCAATTTTCCCATTTTTTAGTTCAGCCGACATCCTCAACAAATCTAAATAAAACAAAACAATTTCTATTAAAGTCATCATCACAATCATAATTTTTTGTGAAGTTGATTTTTATTGATTTGAGATATGAGATATTTTTAACAAAATTTTTTAATTTAGAGTTAATGTTATTATATTTGACAAACTTTTTATTTTTTGTTATATCTATATATAAACTTTTTAATTTGTGATTACGTTATTAATTGTTCATCTGCCAACAAAATATTTTATAAAGGCTTTAAATTATTACTTCTAACAATTTTTTTAAAGTTTTCTAAAATTGATTAAAGTTATGACTTCTAGCAAAACCTTAATAAAGGCTCTAACAAAACATTTTACTTTGCACAGCGGCCTTGCTTGCCAAATTTCAAATTTTGAAGTTAAATTGAGAGAGTTGTAACCACATTATCAAAAAAAAAAAAAAAAAAAGATATATAAAAAAAAAATCTCCTGGATATTATGAATTAAATTAATTTCATAGGATTTTTATTTTTACTTATTAAGACTGAAGTTGCTTTAAACGAAAATTTTATTTTGAGTTAATGTTATTATATTAAAAATAAAACTTTCCTGATAAAAGTTCTAGAAAATTATGTCTTTAAAGTAGATTTTTTTATTACGTAAATTTAGGGGAATATATTGTCATGTATATAAAGTTATGATTTCTAAACTGTTACAATTTAACCTTAACAATGCAGATATATATATATATATATATATATATATATATATATATATATATATATATATATATATATATATATATATATATATATATATAAATTAATATTAAAGTAACTTAAAAATGAAGCTTAAAAATTAATAAAACAACATTTTTATATAACCTAACTTTAATCAATTTTTTTATAAATTACTATAAAGAACTTGAAAAAAAAAAAAAAAAAAAAATCTAGCAGATACAATAAACAGTTTTTTGATTAATATGTCAACCAATTTTTTGCATTTTAAAAATATTTCAGTTTTCTGGAAGTACCGACATTAAAAGTGGTTGTGTGCAGCCTAGTTGGAGTAAATTAGTTTAAAAAAATTTTTTGTATTTAAAAAACAGATGGTAGAAAAGATTGTTCCTATTTTAGAGAATTAATCAATATATCAATATATAACTCAGTTTAAACCTAAAATAAATATATTTTTTGTTAAAATATTTATGCTTGAAAAACTTTTATGAACAAAATTTCATTTTAAAATTTTACATAGTTGCTTTCCAAAATGTGCTTATAAAAACCTTCAAAGAATTTTGCCTGAAAAATGACGTAATCATTGATTTTAAAAGTGCCACAACACAACTATTGCAGGGTAATTCCATATGAAATCATCCAAAAAAAAAAAAAACAATTAGGAAACCCTTATGTCTTAGAATTTGTTCATTTTTACCTGACTTGCAGTCCATATTTAAAAAATAATAATTGCAAAAATTTTAATCAAAAATATTCATGGGTTCTAGAGATATTTTCAGTTAAAATAATGCTAAATCAGCATTTTAGTGATAATCTGAAGCGACTACAATGCAACATATAGTATCTTCATAATGACTTGGGGAAATTTCCTAAAATTTAGTACCCTAATGGCTTTTTACTTGCGTAATCCAAAAAGAGCACTCTCAAGACTTGATTATCTCAGAAAATGCCTTATTTATCCAATTTTGTATAAAGTTATTGACTTGCAAATTCATGATATTTGAAGGTAAAATGAAGACTGTGGCCAAAAATCTTGAACAAAAAGATTAATTACATATCATTATTTTTTCCTAACTACTGAATAAAATTAGATTCATTTGTCTCTCTAATACTTGATTAAAATCTAGGGGTGGAAGTTGGTCAGAAGCCCCCTGACCCTTCCTTGGCCTATGACTATAAATGTCCTAAACCAGTCAATAAATAACACTATTTGATGTTTTATTCAAACAAATGATTTAAAAACCATTTCAATTGCTTTTGTTACAAAACAAAAATTTTTCTAAAAAGACAAAATTTTAAAACACAAATTTTGATAAAATATTAGAGAGATAATTGATGAATCTAATTTTATTCAGTAGACCTAAGATAAAAATAATGATATGCAATTAAACTTTTAATTCGGGATTTCAGGCCAAAGTCTTTATTTTACCTCCAAACATCATGAATTTAAAAATCAATAATTTTGAACAAAATTAGATAAACAAGGCATTTCCTGAGATAATTGAGTCTTAAGGGTGCTCTTTCTGGATTCCGCAAGTAAAAATGTATTAGGGTACTAAATTTTAGGAAATTTCCCCGAGCCATTATGAAGATACTATATGCCAAAGTTGCTTTGTAGTTCCTTCAGATAATAACTAAAATGCTGATTCAGCATTATTTTAACTGAATTTAACTAATTTAAATTTAACTTTCAACTAAAATTTTTGCAAAATATGAAAACAAACATGTATGCTTTTTTGATGTAGAAAATGATAAATGTACTTAAAAGATTTAAGTGTGAAAGGAACTTAAAAATGAAGCTTAAAAATTAATAAAACAACATTTTTATATAAGCCAACTTGGATTAGTTTTTTAATAAATTAATATAAAGTACTTTATAAAAAAATTGCTAAGAGAAATCTAGATGATACAATCAACAGTTTTTTGATTAATCTGTCAACCAATTTCTTTCATTTTTAAAATATTTTTGTTTTCTGGTATATCCCAACATAAAAAGTGGTTGCCTGCAGCCTTGTTAGAGTAAATTAGTTAAAAAAAAACTATTAATTAAAAAACAGATGGTAGAAAAGAATGCTTTATATTTCTCTTCCTTTATAATTTAGCAACTATAAGAATTAATTTTTCTTCTTCCTTTATATTTTAGCAACTATAAGAATTAATGAATATATAACTCGTTTTAAACATAAAATAAAGTTGTTTTTTATCAAAATATTTAAGCTTGAAAAACTTCTATGAACAAAATAATCTATTTTAAAACATTACATAGTTATTTTCCAAAATATGCATAGTGCCTTAATAGAATTATCTTGGAAAATAAAGTGCCACTAAACTACTATTGCAGTTACAATAAAGTAAAGACAAATATGTCAAAAGATATTGTTTACTGAAAAAAGCCTCAAGTGAGTTAGAATAACTTTTAATAAGATTTTTTAATACTAGTTCTAGTTCAATTGCAAGCGAACTAACCAACCAATTATTAAGAGCAGTGAACACTTTTAGAGCAATGCCTACTTTACAAAGGATTGTTATTTATAATTTATTTTTAGGCTGATAATACAAAAAAGTGTCTCTTTAGTAATTGATTCACCTAAAACCACCAACAAAATATATAGTCCATCTAGATATTCCATATCTAGATAAGTCATAAATATTAAACAATAAAAAAAACATTCATAACATATGGGATTTGCTGTGGTAAGCAATTAAAATGTTAAATATTAGTAGCGTACTTACCAACCAATTATTAGGAGTAGTTAACATTTTTAGAGCAGGCTTGGTCAGGAAGTGGAATTACTGACAACAGAAATAATACTTAGTTGCAAAAAACTGGCCAGAATTTTCAGTCGTTTTGTTAACAAAATAAAGAATTATTTATCAATACTATTTAAATTGTGACACTGCTACATCTAGGAATTATAACATACTTAGTGAGCTAAATTAAAATTCTTAGTAAATTCAATTAACATCTTTTTATTTTATTTTATTGTGTTAACACTTTTAAAGTCAAACTTGCCACTACAAAAAAATCTTTGAAAAAATACAGTAAAAATAAACACACATTATTTGAAAGCCAGTAACAAAATGAACAAAATTGATGATTAGCAAAAATAATAAAATAAGCAACTAAAGTAAGTAAACATAAAAATGAAAAAAATTGAAAATCAAATGAAAAAGTTAAAACTTAATAAAAGGACTTGACTTAATAAATTATTTAACATAAAATAACTTTCTTACTTTTGAAGCAAAGAAAGCGTAATCCAATTAAAAAAATTACCTTTATTGGAAGAAACAGTGAAATTTTTGTTTGGTGAACTTGAAATCTCTAGACAATATAAAGTTCTTATTTATAACTAAAACTTGAAATAAAAATATGGAGTAAAAAAATAACACTAAAAATGTATCTATAGAAAATAACAAAAAATTCTTTAAGGATTCAACTCATTCCCGCCAGGTTTAATTACAAATGTCTTTTCATATAATTTTTGACCTCCTGAGAAATTACAAAAAAATTTGTCTATGTTTCATTCCTTGTAACAAACCTAGTATGAAACTGAAAAAATTTAGACAGTTGAAATCATGTAGAGCTAAAACAAAGCAAAACACAACTAGTGTGAAATAAAAACAAATGAAACTGTACCCAAAAAACTGAGCAAAAAGAAAATAGTGTTGTGAAACTATAAAAAAACCTAATAATTTATCAAAATTATTCAATTTTATCCATGACCTTGTTTATCAAAACTTTATTTGAAACATTTAAAGTGTCTGTAAAAATGCTAAGAGCTTACAGAAAAATCAGATCAGGCAGAAAAGGCTTCCTTAGACTAGAGTTGCTAGATGACTGACCTTTACAAGGAAGAATACAATACCGAACCTACAAAAATCAAAACACTTTTACCTTAGTAAAAACCTGACATCTAACAATCATAGCCAAGTCTGTTTTAAAAGATGTTTTCCCTATTCGCCATTCACTCACCCCAAGACCAATATCTAGGTGTTTATGTTTAACCCAACCCACACCCTATCAAGTTGAGTTTGCCAGTCTGCTCTTGTAACTTAAATATGACTCATCTAAAATTATTTCCTGCAATTTACATAACTTGGTCAACAATCCGTCGCATGAGAATTACAGAGTTCTATCTTGTTTTATGTTAAAAGAATTTAACAATCAGAGTTTTAATTAATAATTAATAATAAAAACAAACCACTTAAAAAATTATATATTAAGTATCATTTTTTTAAATTTTTTAAACATAAACAACATAATTTATAATTATAATGAATAACAGCTGTAAAACATGTATTAAATAAATATTGAAAGTTAAGTTCTCACAACATAAAAAAAGGCAGATAGAACCCTATAATTCTAATGTGACGAATTGTCAAAGGTCTTGTCAAAACCCTAAAAGTAAAAGGGACAATACCAATGTTTAATTCTCCCTACAATTACAGCGTGTTTTTCTGATTTAAATAGAGTCTTATTTCTAACAGCTTAATAATTATTTTACTAACTATTGGTAAAAAACTGATAAAATACTCACTTTTAATTATAATGATTTTTTTTGTGTGTAATCCATAAATGACAAACTGTTTAGTGGAGCAGACATAATGAATCTAGTCACTGAAAAAAGTGCGCATTGATGCCTGCTGTGCAATGATGTAATGTGCAATAAATTGAATAGAGTCGCACACCAAGACTAGAGTTGCTAGATGTAAGGGTTAGGGTCAGGGATTAAATGCCAAAACTAAAAGTGTTTGAGGTCGGCATTGCCGAATGCCGACCCTAATTCCTATAGTTTTAAAATAGTAAAATAAAGCGTATGCCAATGATACATAGTTTTATCATATCAGTAAATAGAAAACACATATCAGATAATAGAAAATAAAAAGAAAATATGATTCTTATTTAGTATTGTTACCTCCAAATTTTGTTTCAATTTTAATCACAATATCTAATCGATTAAAAGCCATTAATTCTTTTTTTAATTGCTCCCATGAAAGATTTCCAATTTTTTGTTTCCATTTTTTAAAAACATTATCAGCTTTTTCATAACAATTTTTGTTATCAGAGCCAATGTTATCAAGGTCTGAATCACTTAGACCGAGGTGTCTTCCCCATCGCAACCAATCACTTCCAATATTATAGCTTATTTCACCACAACATTTTGAAATAAATTCATCAGAAGCAAATTCATTTCTAGACACTAAACATAACCAATTTAAACATGTATAAAAACAAAAACAAAAAACAAAAGAAAAATTGGTGTTGATAACTTTATTTATAACCACTAAAGTCAGTCTTTAAATCCAAATTAATAATCCAAATTTATAATCAAATCAGCTACAGAGAAAAGTTATCAAATCTTTAAATCAGTATATATACATAAAAAAATCAGTATAACAAATGAAATTTAATTAATTAAACTATTAAATAAAAATATTAAAAATGTCAAGAAGATCATTAAACATCAATTGGAAAACAATGTATTATAAACACAACAAAGTCATTCTAATAGATGAAGAAAGAGAGCGAAGCTAGTCAGCAGATATAATCTGTTTACCCAATAATATGCATATAAAATATATAAAACTATAAAATACAATTAGTTGATGTGTACTACAATTAAACCATTATTAGTGTTAAAAACTTTATTAACATTTCTGTCTTCATAACCACTAAAGTACACTCCATAAATCAGAAATCATTGAGTCATAGGCAATTCAAATTTTTAACAGTGATGCGTATAAAGTTAATGCTAATAAAATTTTCTTAAATAATTTTTTCATCTAAAAACAACTTTATTAAAACACATTGGTTAGGAAGGTTTTTTAAAAGCAGCAGAAGATGGTCAAAGTCTACTACTATGTTATACAAAACTATGCATAAATTAATCATGCAAAATTAAATAAATTATGCTAAAAAATAGAGACACTTTTTTAAGTTTTAGTAGGAAAGAAATACCTGTTTAAGTAAAAAATATATATATATTTTTTTGATAGGTATTGCTGAGAAACTAAATTCAAATTTAAACATCTTCAAATAATTATTATGCAGAAAATAATAAAGAAAAATTAAATCTTTAGTTTAATTTTTAGCTTATAAAAATAGTTATATTTTTCTTTTTTTTTTCTTTTTTTTACTAATTATGTTGGAGATTGAGAAATGCAAAACTTGTGGGCTTTAATGCCTGATGAACATTAGTCACGAACAACAACGATATTGGCTGAAAGATAAAAAGAAAGGGATAGGTAAACTTAATTAAAAATAACATTAAAAAAAGTGTAGTCTTGAGATAAAGGAGAGTAATAAAGAACAAAGTGAAAGGTAATAGAGTGAAGTGGTGCTTAACAAAAACACGTAAAAGAATAGTCTGTTGATTCAAACCTAGTTTCCTGACAAATGGATGAACTCTTACTAATATAAATGCCCAGGCCTAGAATGTGACAATTGGAGCTTAAAAAATTAAAAGAAAATAATCCAAGCAATTTTTAAATTACTATTAATAAATCCTATCGTAACAAGGAGGTCCAAATGTGGCCTCAACAATGCACATCAAAATTACAAAAAGAGACACCATCCATATGCAACATTGGAAACATTAATTCTCTAATATTTTACAGCTGGTAATGGAATCAGCCTCACTGAGAGCTACCACAGAGTTTAGGAAACCTGAGTACCAGGCAGCCTCAGAACAAAAAAACTTTGTTTAAGAGATTTATTATTAGGAGATTATAGAAAAAGTTGCATTATAAACACATCAACACCAGTTTAATAGATTAGGAAGGGAAGCAAAGCTGGTCAGCAGATAGAATCTGTTTACCCTTTAATATGCATATAAAATATATAAAACTATAATATACAATAAGTTCCTTTCTGGTGTCAGTTTGATTTTGTAATTTCAATTTGAGTTTCTACTTGATACTTGTGAGTTTTCAATTTAACTTTAAGAGTTTTTTTTTTAAAAACAATCTGTTTGTATTTTTATTTTTAATTTTTTAACTAATTCACTTTTAACAATGAAAGAACTATTAACTATAAAGTTGAGACTTACTATAAACTAAGAACAGTGTTAAAGAGCAAGGAAACAGGTATAGAGAAAAAAAAGTTGAAGGTTACATGATTATAAAAAACATAAAGATTACAGAGAATGGAAAGCATTGAAGTGCAAGGAAAGAAACAAGATAGATAAAAGATTTTTGATCAGGAATGGACAGAGAAAAAAAAAAAGAAAACTTGATGAATGACAAGTCAAGTTGAAATGAGTGTTTGTTGGTAGGGCTGAATGCTAATCTTTGTAAAAAAGTAAAAGAGATGCAAGTTTACGACAATGGAAGAGTGGTTAATTAATTTTTTTTTTGGATAGGTATTGCTGAGAAACTCAAATTTAAACATCTTCAAACAATTATTATACAGAAAATAATAAAGAAAAATTAAATCTTTTGTTTAATTTTTAACTTATAAAATATAGTTATAGTTATATTTTTTTCTTTTTTTTTAATTTTTTTTTCACTAACTATGTTAGAGATTGAGAAATGCAAAACTTGTGGGCTTTAATGCCTGATGAACATAACAGTCACCAATAACAACAATATTGGCTAAAATATAAAAAGAAAAGGCTAGCTAAATTTAATCAAAAATAACATTTAAAAAAATGTGGCAATATAGAACAAAGAGAAAGGTGATAGAGTGAAGTGGTGCAAAACAAAAGTACATAAAAGAATAATCTGTTGATTCAAACCTAGTTTCCCGACAAATGAGTGAACTCTTACAAATGTAAATGCCCAGGCCTAGCATGTGACAACTGGAGCTTAAAAAAATTAAAAAAAAAATAATCCAAGCAATTCTGTCGTAACAAGGGGGCCCAAATAAGGACTTAACAATGCACATAACATGCACAAATTATGAAAAGAGACACCATCCATATGCAACATTGTAAACGTTAGTTCTCTAATATTTTACAGCTGGTGATGGAATCAGCCTCACTGAGAGCTACCACAGAGTTTAGGATACCTGAGTACCAGCCAGCCTCAGAACAAAAAAGAATTAGTTTTAGAGATGTATCCTCATTAGAAGATAATAGTAAAAGTTGCTTCATCATAAAACAGTGACACAAGAAAAATCTACCCAACAAGTCAAGAAGATCAGTATTAAACATCTTAATTTGGAAACAATTTATTATAAACCCATCTACACCAGTCTAATAGATGAAGAAGGGAAGCAAAGCTGGTCAGCAGAATCTGTTTATTCTTTAATATGCATATAAAATATTTAGAGAAAAAAAATTTAAAGGTTACATGAGTATAAAAAACATAAAGATTGGAGAGAATGGAAAGCACTGAAGTGCAAGGAAAGAAACAATATAGATAAAAGATTTTTGATCAGGAATGGACAGAGACAAAAAAGAAGCAAACTTGATGAATGACAAGTCAAGCTGGAATGAGTGTTTGTTAAAAGGGCTGAATGTTAATATTTGTAAAAAAGTAAAAGAGATGCAAGTTTACGACAATGGAAGAGTAATTCAATCTTAGTAAATAGAGCAGGTCCAACTAACTTAATAATGTCTTTTTGGACCTTGTTTAAGAAGAAAAAAATCATAATTAGAAGAACAGTATTCAAATACAGGAATACAGACTTTTCACCCTTTTTTCTCCTGTTAACAAATTTTCTTACAGTGCAATTAATATTGATATTAGTAAAAAACCTTTCATAAATATTAAATGAAGCTTTAATAATTCTTATATTTATTATGTTATGTTATGTCTCAAATTTTTTTCCAAACCTGATGCCAACCTTTAACAGTTTGAGGGCGGAAATTTATTTCTGACCTCAAACTGTTAGAGGTTGACATCAAATCCTAAAGCTGGTTATCAAATAACATTATTATACAATACACATTTCAGAAGAACAAAAAAAATAGTTAGTTCTAGAAAAATGAAAATAAAATATATTCCATATTTTTAAATTATGATTAATAGTTCAATATGCAGTAATTTATTGGAATAATTAGTACAACTTATTATTTTTCAAGATGCACTTTAAAAATAAATTCTTGGTTTCATCATTTTTATTACAAAAATAAACAATATTTCAGTTTAATTAATAGTTATGTTTTCTTATAATTTTTTTTTTTTAAATAAACTTTTCTTCATTTATTTTCCAGTTACTGTTTTCTCATAGTAACACCTTTTAAATTTGTTAAAGATTATCTTTCAAATAATAAGATAAAAAGTAGTTCTATTTTTAATGGCTTTTAAAAATGCTATTTTAGTTACTAATATGTTATTCAACTACTTAATGTACATAATGATCTGTTAAATAAGTATTATATGTAGTCATATATTAAAAACTTTGTTTTTATGGTTAACTATAAACTGAAATTTTATTTATCAGCATTACTAAATGTTTATTAAAGATTTCAGAATCATACAACCTAAGTTGAAAAAAGTCTCAGATCATTTTTACAAAATTAACTTTTTTTTAAAAAGTAATTTCATACACAAATTTATTTCTACACCATAAGTCAAAAGAGAAATATACGAAAAAAAATAGATCTCATTTTATTTTAAGTGATTACTGTAAAATTCAAAATCTTCTTTTATTGAGCTATAAACAATCCAAATGAAATAACTTACAGCAATTCTTCCTTAATTTAATTATATTAAAATAAATTATAAAATATAGCAAGCTAAAATTTAAATAATCATAAGTTAATTATGAGAAAATCCATAAACTTTAACAACCTTACTTGCATTTTAGTTAGACCCCTTGCTCTACCCATGGTTGAAATCTAGATCCCCTCCTCTAATCATGGTTATAAATTTAACAAATTTGTTGAGATTTAACAAATTTCCGATGTTATAAACATTTCAATACTGTCATTTTACTCCGATTTCAAATTCCATTCTTTAAAAAGCTCTTATTTATTTTTATATAGAATACTGCTATCATTTTTATGCTGAGTCATCATGTTTCATCTTTATATAGAATACTGCTATCATTTTTATGCTGAGTCATCATGTTTCATCTTTATATAGAATACTGCTATCATTTTTATGCTGAGTCATCATGTTTCATCTTTATATAGAATACTGCTATCATTTTTATGCTGAGTCATCATGTTTCATCTTTATATAGAATACTGCTATCATTTTTATGCTGAGTCATCATGTTTCATCTGAGTCATCATAAAAACTTATTCAAAAAAAAAGTGAATAAACATTTTTAAAAATAAGGTGAACTTGCTTGCATTGAGGTTTAATAAAGGACAAATCTCCTTTTTGCAAAAATTCTAAATGAAATAAGTTACTTTATAGTATAAAAAATAAGAGTCACTTGATCTGAAACTAAATTCTTTAAAATTTGATAGACATAAAAGTAAATTTAAAATCACTTAAATTAAAAATTACAAATTTTATAAAAACTAAAATAATAAATAATCAGAAAATTAAATAGTAAAAGTATTCTCTAAAAATTTATTTTACTTCGACTTTGATTTTTAAATTTTTATGATTTAAATGTGCTAATGTAACTTCTTTCAGCAAATTTGTATTTGTTATAATTTAATTTTGTTATTAATTTAATTTTTTTTTAATTAATTTATGTTATATTATATGAAATTACACACTATTTTTACATGTTGAATTTAAAAGACAACTTTATTTTTAAGGAGTTTTTTCTCACACCAAACAACCTAAATTAATAATATTCGAAACTACAATTGAACCCGTCATTTCGAAAAGGGCATAAGTCCAATTATTCAAACTTTTCAGCATCAACAAAAATAAGTTTATTAGAAAAAAAGTCTATGGTGCTAAACAAACTAAATATAGAAGTAGATAAAAAAAATGATGCATAAATTTTTTAGAGTTTTATTTTTTATAAAAAATAAACATATAGTACATATATTTTAAATTTAAATTTATGGACTTATGCCTTTTTCGAAATGAACACTATGCTGTATATAAAAATCCGAAGATTATCAGAATAATAATGATTTATTATTACATTAAAACAAGTTAATTGTCACTTATTTCTTGGAATTCATTGTTTGCAGAAGTTGTTGGCCAAGCAAAAACCTCTGTATAAAAGTTTTGATATTCTTCTATTGAATATGGAATATATTTTTCTATTTCCTTCAAATCTGATATTTTTTTTTCATTGATAGGCAATTTTCCAGCATATGCGGGAGTACTACTTGATGGCAAGGTTGGCCTTGTACCCATCCTTTGTAATAGCTGGAAATCATAACTGACTAAGCAATCTATAGATTCTCGTGTTGTCACTAAACCTGGTGTGGTCTTAGAAAAAATAAAATGTGACACTTTAGAAATACCAAAAGTTACTTTCTTGTTCTTGGGTACTCCTCTTCCGTAGGAATCCACAGATAGCACAAGTTTCTTATAATGGTTTGGCCACCATTTTTTTACATCAATAATATCTTCAGTTTTAGGCCTTCTAATTTCAAATTTTTAGTTTGCCTCGCATATAAGATTTTCATACTCGGTTGGTGTGTAAATCCGATCATTTTTTCGAATATGTCGCTTTGCTGTTCCAAACATTCTATCGTTTGGCAAGAATGAGTGACCTCTTTTTGGTAGGTAATATTGTATTGCATTTATATTGCTACCTAGTTCAGCTATTAGGGATAAAAGTAATCGGATCATGGCATGATTTCTATTTTGGCCTGCACAACCATCAGAAAATAGGTGCAGTTCTTTGGCTTCGTTGCCAATATTATTTTTAATATAATCCAGCACAAAGGTACATACTTCGTTGGGACCTTTGTTAGCAACTCCTTGACAATATGAATAAAATACTGATTTACCAGTTTTTAAATCGTATATGCAAAACTCATACAACCATAGTTGACGTAGGTAAAATATTTCCTGGACAGGGATATGTGGAAGTGGCAAATTTTGCATAAAATCAAATGCTATCCCATACACATTTGGATCATTTTTGCACTTAGTTTCAACTTCCTGAATTTTTTTGTAAAATTTGTTTGCCTGTGTTTTGTGTATCTCAATATCTGCTTGATAAATTCTTTTCGCATTGTCATTAAGGTGTGGGTTTTTAAGCTTAATTTGTAACTCTTCGCACAGTCTACAGACATCAATTTGCTTTCTACCAAACGATAAACTAAAATTTTCTTGGAAATATTTAAGGTAAAATTTATATTTAACAGGATGATCTGGATATTTTTGTTCGTATAATGTGTGCATAATTTTCACATTGAGTTTTTCATCCAAATAATAAGATGATGCATCTTTGTTATAGTAGTGCACATATTTAACAGAAAATGATTCAATATGCTCACGTACTTTTGTTAATGTACCACCAGGTAATGAGTTGCATCGTGATCCCTGGGATTTCCCTCTGTGATCTATAGGCTGCTATTTTTTTTTTAAGAAAATGCATAAACGTCTAACTTGTTTCATAGAAATTCCAAGCATACTGCAAAAAGCTTTCTTGCATACTTTTTTTCTCACACCTTCAATCATAATGTGATAAATAAAGGAAAATTCTTTTTTCTTAGCTTCTTCAGATCTAAACCGTCTTCTCTCTATTTCCTTTTTTTCAATCAATGACTGCAAGTATGTGTCTTGGGCATTTTTACTATCGAATTTGTTAACAAACTGAACTGTACTTTTCATAACATCTTCAGATACAAGCTCCATACATTTTGAATCTGTAAATAAAAGAAACTATCAATGTAATATTTTATTAATTATATATCAAGATGTTTTAACTTCAAATATTGGTAGTAAAACATGAGTAAATAAACAAAAACTTGAGAACAAATATAGTCTATATTCTATGTATTTTGTAGAACAAAAAACTAACTTGCATGAAGCACCCGTCTGCCTTGGTGCCACATCATTTCCTTTGTGGTTTTTATAAGCCTCTCCAGACACTTTGGCTTTTTTTATTTTTGAGTGTTTATAATTTTCACTATGCATTTTCAGCAAGCTCGCGATTTTCCATTTTTGTAACAAAGTTAGATTACGTCACTTCAGTTGCGCTTCGTTTCACTTGAAAAAGGCATAAGTCCGGGACTTGTGCCATTTTCAAATAGACTTGAATTTTCATTTGCATTTAAAGTTGACTTGTGGTATATGAAAATGTGTCTCCTTTAAAGGGAATATGTAACACAACTAAATTAAAAAAACTGCATTCAAAAGTGAAATTCGAAAAAAGTGTGACTTGTGCCCTTTTCGAAATGACGGGTTCAATTTAAAGTGTAATAACTTTTTAAATTATGCTTCTCTAGTATTCTATTCTGTAAGATTTTTCTAAATTATGTTTCTTTAGTACTTTTATCTGTAGTATTTATCTTATGTATCTGTAGTATATATATTATGTTTCTCTAGTATTCTATGTTTAGTATTTTTCTAGATTACACTTAAAAGATATTTCAAAAATGATTCTGTTTTGTTTTGTTTGTCATAATTCAAGTAATATGTGTTCCTTAAACTGATTTCAAAAAAAAAAATTTGTTACTTTTTTTATAATTTAAAAATTAATTAAAATAACTCAAATTTCATATTTCAGAACTTGATAACTCTAAATTCACACTTCGGATTTTTATAACTCAAATTTTGTAATCCAAAACCTAATGACTTAAATTTTATATTACAGAACATTATCAACTCAAACTTCATACCTCAGGACTTGTTAACTCAAGCTTTATACATTAGGACTTGATCACTCAAATACCCTATTTTTTAACACTGACTTTTGAACAACTTTCTTTTTCTGCTTTTTTTGTATATTTTTTTTAAAAACAATCAATGCTGTTTAATAAACAGATTATAAGTCAACGCTATAATTTATCAACCAACAGAGATTGATTATACAATGATATTCAATGGATGTCTTTTAATGTATTTATGCTACAAAAATCTAAGTGTGATCTACTAAACAGTAAAAATTAAACAATGGAATCAATTACTCATAAACAACTTATTAAATATTAAATGCAATAACAAAAACTAATTTTAAATTAAAAAATTGGATAACTATAGTAACTACTTGACTAATAAAATTTATTTTAAAAGTAAAAAATTTTTAAATAAGGGTAATATAATGAATTTCTTTAATATATCTTAAACTTAATAAATAAAATCTTTTACACACAAACCAAAGACATTTGTCATATTTTAAACAAACTAAGGATTGTTGTTGACTTATCAAGATTAGATAAATTAAAAACAAAGAATTATAAATTTCTATTTTAAAGCTGTTTGAGTTATTTTAAATCTGATTGAGTAAAATTTTGGAATTGTGTCAAGCAAAGATTAAGTAAAGATTATACTAGAAAATAACAAGCACACATTAACATTCATATCAAATTACTTTGTAATATTATATGAAGATAAATAAATGCTTGTTATTTTTTAGTTGTTTTTTAATAACATTTACATTATAATTATATACGTTTTACATTTACATTATAATTATCTGAAACAAAAATTAAAGATTAAAATTTTAAGTTCATTTTTTAATAACTAAACTATTGCCATTGTTGAAATAGATGAACCTTTTAAAAGATATCAATGCTAGGTGCTATCAGTACAACAGTTAGTTAGGTAACTATCTGTACAGTCATGTATAGCTTGGTCAAGAAAAAAGTGTGTTCTCATAACTGTATCAAAGTACACCATACTTGAACTTAGTGCATCTAAGTATTTGATTGACATTTTTAAATATAATTTTGTTAAATTTCATTTATATTTTAATTGTAATAGTAATAGTAATATATTTGAATAAGTCTTTATAAATTACATGACAAATAAAAAAAAACAATCAAATAAACAGATTAAAAAACAAAAGCATTTTTTTTTTATTTTTTTTTTTAATTCATTTTTTATTTGTTTATTTTTTTTTTATTATTTTTTTTTTATTATATTATTTTTTGTTTTTTTTTAATTTTTAGCTATTTTTTATTTTTTTGCTTTCATTTAATTAGAGATTACATTTATGACTAATGTACCTAAAAACAATATTTGTAGCTACTAAAGCACGAATGAATTAAATTAAACATGCGACTCATCTTCAGTAAAAGATGCACTATATGCAGCTGTAGGAAAAAAATGCTTTTCAATTCTACTTTTAAATGCGTTAATTGACGGAGCCTTTTTGCATAACAACGGTAAATAATTCCAATCATTCACAATACAATTTGTGAAGAAATGTCGAGCATTATTGCATGTGATATCACACATTAGTTTGTTGGATGGTGATCTGCAAAGTGGTGGATTATGCCAATTAATAATATCAAAACCGTTTTTAAATTATTAAACTGCTAGATAAAGTCGCGCATCGCCTGCAAGTTTCCAAAGAAGTAAAATTGAGACGCCGACACCTTTCAGCATAAGGTAAACTTGAGGAATTTTTGTTGCTTTGTGACAATGTTTAAATCATTTTGAAGAATTAGACAAGACAGAAACTCAGGTCTTATTTCTTGCAACAGTTTAGTGTCATCAACACAAATTTTATGAACTGATTTTAAATTATCCTTAAAGTCAATTATGTAGATGATGAATAATGTTGGACCATGTACAGATTATTGTAAAATTTGCTTAAATTATCGGTCCAGTCGCTAGAGTAATTACCTAAAACAGTTGGTTGTTTTCTGCTAGTCAAAAATGACTTAATCCATTTGCCAATATTACCATTGATTCCATATGCTTTTAATTTATGTTGTAGTTTTCGATGAGAAACTCTATCAAACACTTTTGCAAAGTTCAAAAATGCAATATCGACAAATTTGCAATATCGACAAAATGTGATAACTTTTTTTTTATTAAAGATAAATATAACATAGCGAGTATTACCCATTTAACAATAAATGCTTATAACACCAATGGTTTATCAGAATCAGTGTATTTTAAAATGTTTTAAGGAAATTTACCCTGTTAAAAAACACTGAACTCTATATAGTAGGAATTTATTATACAAATGTACTTTGGTTGTAAATTCAAAAAAACCTTGTTTTATGTTTAATTCAAATTGATTAACTGTACGAAGTGTTATTGCCTACCAACTTAAAATTATATCAAATTTATGGCTTTAAAATGTTTGCAAAAGTGAATAAAATATAACTTCTTTCGCACTTAGTAATACATTATATATCAATATTAGAGAATTATAGTTATAAAATTATAAACTGAACCAAATTACACCAGATTGGAGTAAAATAAAGCTTTTTTTTTTTTTTTTGAGACCCTGGAAGTGCTTAAAGCATTTTTTTATTACACCAAATGTCACTTATAATAATTATAATAATTACCTAAAGTCATACTCTGCAAAACAACACTTTAATATTTAGAAAGAAATGTGTTGATAGAACTGCAGAGCTTAAAGAGTAAGAATTAAAGCAATTAGCCTCGCGATCCGTGTCGATAATCTTTGCTATTTACTGATTTTTTGGATTTTGCAATTACATATCGTTTGTCGATATATAAATTAAAGTTTTAAATTAAAATCATTAAAATAAGTAAACAAATTTAAAAAAAAATTAACAAATTAATTAATTAATAATTAAATAATTATAAAAACAAAAAATTGAAAAAACATATACCTTCTGTTTCAACTAAGCTGCTAAATAGACCATTTCCCATTTTTTTGTAGAAACCTTTAACAAATCATATAATAAACTTGTAAAAAGATAAGAAATATGTTAATACCAAGTAAATATCTTTATAAAAAAATATATAAATTTAATATATACAGACCCATAATAAGGTGAAAAAGGCCCATAGTAAAGTAAAAAGTAGTTTAACTATTTTTAATGGCTTTTAATATTGCTATTTTAGTTACTTTTAAAATATGTTGTTTGATGAACATAATAATCTAATAAATAAAAACTGTTCGATGTACATAATAATCTGTTAAATAAGTATTATGTATAGTCATACATTAAAAACTTTATTTTTATGGTTAACTCTTCACTGAGATTTTATTTATTAGCATTAAATGCTGATTAGGGATTCCAGAATCATACAACCTAAGTTAAAAATAAAGTATACAAAAAAAAAATGATCATTTTTACAAAATTAACTTTTTTTAAAAAGTACTTTCATACACAAACTTATGTCTACACCATAAGTCATTTTATTTTAAGCGATTACTGTAAAATTCAAAATCTCCTTTTATAGAGCTATAAACAATCAAAACAAAATAACTTACAGCAATTCTTCCTTAATTTAGTTATATTAACATAAAATATAAAATAAAGGAAGCTAAAATTTAAATAATTATAAGTTCATTATGAGAAAATCCATAAACTTTAACAACCTTACTTGTATTTTAGTTAGACCCCTTGCTCTACCCATGGTTGTAATCTAGATCCCCTACTCTAATCATGGTTGTAAATTTAACAAATTTGTTGAGATTTGACAAGTTTTCAATGTTATAAATATTTCAATACTGTCATTCTACTGATAATAACTAAAAATAACAGAAATGCTCTTATCTGCATTAGATGAAATAGGTGAAGTGAGATTTAATTGCTTTCTTGATATAAAAAAAAAACTTGTAACAGAGCCTAGCAAACTTGACCATAATCTTTTTCTTACATTTTTAGATTTTTTGTGTAAAATTTAAGTTTTAAAACTTATAAATCTTTATTCTCTAACTGCTCTAAATTAGTTTTATATGCTAATGATACTATGATACAATCTAAATATATAGTTGCATCAATAAAAATCCAGTCTTCATATAAAACCATAACTTATTAATTAGCTAGCCTGAATACAACAGGTAGCAACAACTTATCATGAATGTCATCTTTAAGTTTACTTTTCTTTTTCTTGTTCTCTGTTTTTTTTACTCCTATTTCAAATTCCATTATGTTCTTTCTTTTTTAAAAGAAAGAACATAATGGAATTCAAAATTCAAAAAAAAAGTGCATAAACATATTTAAAAATAAGGTGAACTTGCTTGCATTGAAGTTTGATAAAGGACAAATCTCCTTTTTGCTAAAATTCTAAATGAAATAATTTACTTTATAGTATAATAACAAGAGTCACTTGATCTGAAACTAAATTTTTTAAAATTTGATAGACATAAAAGTATATTTAAAATCACTAAAATAATAAATTACAAATTTTATAAAAACTTAAAAATCAGAAAATTAAATAGTAAAAGTATTCTCTAAAAATATATTTCATTTCAACTTTTATTTTCAAATTAAAATTTTTATGATTTAAATGTGCTAATTCTAAACTTGTAAGTTCTTTTAACAAATTTATATTTGCTATTTTTTATTATCAATTTAATTTTTTTAATTTTTTTTTAATTACTTTGTAATATGATATGAAGATAAATAAATGCTTGTTATTTTTTAGCTGTGTTGAATGTAATATTTCATTTAATAAAAAGAATAATTAAAAAATTATTCTTTTTATTAAATGAAATATACAATATTATATAAAATGATATGAATGTATTCATACTCAATATGATTACATTTACTGAGTATAAACAAAATAACAAATAGGATGAAAATACATTCATATTCGTTTTTTTTACATTACATTCATTATGCCATAATTTATATATAATAAATTAAAATTTGGTGATAAGGCCAAACTTGTTTACCGCGTATTTTTTTTTATAATAAAAGATGTAACTTTTTTTTAAAATTAAATACACGAATAGAGTATGAGTACAGTATAAATACATACTTTTTAATTACAGTATGAATACATACTGTTTAATTACTGTATGAATACATGGGCTTGATGATCAAGCCCATCTGCGTTAAATATCTTTCTCTTTTTTTTCTCTTTTTTTTTTTTTGGAAAAGTGATTTACGCTAAACTGTCCCAATAATTATATTAAATTTAAAGAAATACAAACACAACGATAAAGATTAAAACAAAACAAAAATAAAATAGTACCTAAATCACTTGGAACATATAACGTTTTAAAATCCGGATAACAATTCCATTTAGAATTCGATGGTAGTTATTTTCAACACATTACTTGACATAAAAAGACTTTACTAACCACTGTGCTTAGTTGTAAGAGACTCTTGTGACATTAGCAAATATTTACTGTTTATTTTGCAATGTTGACATTTTCACTGCGAGCGCTCATTTAAATGTAAACGAGTAACGTCAATTAAAAGCCTTTAGTCTATTTATCTTTGTACGAGAACGTACGGACTTAAATTGGTCTTTTTTTTCAAATTAAATACTACAGGTGCTTGCACCGAAAAAACCACATAAAAGTAGGAGAGCCTAGAACTTTTTTTTGAGAAAAACAAAATTTTTTAAGCTATTACTATTGAAAGATAAGCCTTAATGGGGTTCTTTTTGATAGGTATGGTTTAATATGTCTCGCTTGTATTCTTTTGCTTGAATGTTGAAGCTGACTCTTTTTCTCCCCATGCACCCCAAAAACCACGTTAACTAATTTAACAATAATTTCTTTACTGTTAAGAATTTTAACTTTTTTAAATTTTAATTTTTTGAAGAAGATTGTTATAATAAATTGCTCTTAGGATGATTGCATCACTGTTAACTTATATTTTATAGAACACTTCAAATGTACTACAAAAACCACATCATATGCACCCCAAAAACCACGTTGGTTTTTTGATGATTATGAAATAAATTTGAAATAATTTAATAAAATATTTATATAATATTATTTTTTTATGTAATACATAATATATAATAAATGTTATTACATTTAAATAAATAAATTTTCCTGTTAAAATTTTGGACATCCTATTCATAATCTTTTACTAATTACTAAACTATATAGATAATATAACCTATATATAACACAAAAAGTCTGTTCAATAAATTTAAATTAAGCGACAATAAAATTTGCAAGTTATTAGGAATTTCCAAAATTTCATACTACATTTCCTTTTTTAAAACCTTAACAATGCGAAAAATACACGGAAAGCAATACAAGAATAGTTAACATAAAATTAAAAAAAATAACAAAATAAAAACATAACATAAAACCATCCGCACCAAATAAATCTTGCATTTTCAAACCTATTTGTAACGCTATCTCAGATAGTAATACCGTTGCTCACATTTTTAACAACTGCTATGAAAAATACAATGCCCACCCAAAGGTAAAAAGATTTCTTCTAAACGTATTTTCTCTGGCTATTTAAAAAAATTTTTTTTTTTTTAATTCAGTGACCGAAAATGAGATTTCTGATTTAATAAAAAAATACATTACAAAACGGTATAAGTTTAGGTCGAAATAGAATCCCCACACACCTTCTTAAACTTATTTCTCATGTTATTTGCAAGCCTTTGTGTACCATATTGAAAAATATATTAAGTTAAGGCTAGTTTTATTGTGTATTCCATTGCACATTCTACCATTTAGTGCATTATTTGACCACTTTTTTAATGGTATCTTTCTAATTTGACTTCTTTTGACTTTCACTTGTTTTTTTTAACTCGTTCTTCTTAAACTCACTGACTTTCAGTCTGCAAACCAGGTTATGATGGTCTTTAGTGAGCTAAACTTGTCTTCGCAGGCCTGTGTATGTGGCCTATATATGGTAATTAGCCATATATAGGCCACATACACTGATGACTTTTTGGAGATGTTTTTAAGATAGCCAAAGTGATTCGTTAATAAAAACAGGATGAATACATACTGTTTAATTACAGTATGAATACATACTGTTTAATTACTGTATGAATACATAGGCTTGATGATCAAGCCCATTTGCGCTATATATTTTTCTCTTTTTTTCTCTCTTATTTTTGGAAAGGTGATTTACGCTAAACTTTCAGATTTATTTTATTAAATTTAAAAATTAACAAACACTCTGACAAAGATTATGTACGTGCGTATCCAATGAGTTACGGCACCGATTATGTAATCAAAATCTTCGACCATTTTATCAAAGCGTGCTTAGCGTTTGAGTTGTAAGAATGTATTTTTTTGTGTTATTTTTTAGGATTTTATATCAGCATAGACTTTTTTTGAAAAGTGGAAGAGTTAAACTTCATTTTCGGATAGTTTTTTTTTGAAGTTACAACCGCCTTTATTGAATTTACTTTTCTTAAAAACTTCGTTGTTGATCACACGTCAAATTAATATTGAAGGAATGTTGAGAACATTTTTAAAACTATTAAGAAAAAATTAAAAACTTATTTTCTACGTGCATACCAAATTTTATCGAAAAAGATTATGTAGCAGACACCTAATTTTTTGTAGCAGAATATGTACCTAAGTTAAAGTATTGTAAATAAAGCAAAATATTGCGCTTCTAGCAACAAATCTCCATAACAAAACTATTGTTCAGGCAACAAAGTTCCATGACAAAACTACCGTTAGCCGAATTCGCAGTTTTTTTTAATCAAATTTTGTTACTTAAATGAGCATAACTTCTTGTAAAATTGTTATTTTGTTATGAAATTTTCACTATTGTAATGCTGATTTTAGCCTCTTTTCAATGATATATAATAATCAATAATAAAAATAGTTTAAAGATTTTACAATCGTGCCTACAAAGATTAAAACAAAGCAAAAATAAAATAGTACCTAAATCACTTGGAACATATATCGTTTTTAAATCCGGCTAACAATTCCATTTAGAATTCGATGTTAGTTTTTTTTCAACACATTACTTGACATAAAATAACTTTACTAACCACTGTGCTTAGTTGTAAAAACAAGAAATAAGACTCTCGTGACATTAGCAAATGTTTACTGTTTATTTTGCAATGTTGACATTTTCAGTGTGAGCGCTAATTTAAATATAAATGAGTGACGTCAATATAAAGCCATTAGTCTATTTATCTTTATACGAAAACGTAGGGACTTATATTGGCCTTTTTTTCAAATTAAATACTATACATAATATATAATAAATGTTATTATATTTAAATAAATAAATTTTCGTTTTAAAATTTTGAACACCCTATTCATAGTCTATTACAAATTACTAAACTATATAGATAATATAACCTATATATAACACAAAAAGTCTGTTCAATAAATTTAAACTGTGCAAGAATAAAATTTGCAACTTAGGGTAGATTAGGGTAATATGAGCACCTTGGTAATATGAGCATACTTAAGGATTTATTAGATGTAAGCAGTGAAGTTAAAGTTGCTTTATGTTTTTCGAATCGACTTTATGTGGTGATAACAGAAATCAGTACAGTTAGCGAAAATTTATACGCAGTAATTAGCGGATATCATCTAATTAAAACGCTTTTAAACTTTTTGCTTTGTTAAAAAAAATCATCACGCGTGAATAATTCTGTGGCGCGATATTTTGGCTCTAAAATAATGAAATTATTTTTTTTTTGTAAAGAAAAATATATTAGCTAAAAATCCAATTCATTTTTGTTTGAAAAATAATGCTTAGAAACATTTATTTTTGACTTTATTTAAAGATACCATTTTTGTGTAATATGAGCATGCTCAAATAACCCAGTGCTTAGTTTAAAGTCCAAAAATAGCAGTGGTTTTTAATTGCTTCTTGAATAAAAACAAAACATAGTAAAAAATTTTAATATATTAACAATACTAAATATTTTTCTGTAACTTAAATCTGAAAAATTTTAATTTTTATTGTTCGAAGGTTTGAGTTAACAAAATTGAAAAAACAATGTATTAATTTTTTTATTTTTTTTTGGCGGAAAACATAGTAGTATTGTTTCAACAAAATGTAGTTTAAAATTTGATCTTTTAATGATATGTTTTGTTAATCACGAATCCTTATACTCCAACAATTAGTTCTATTGAGCAGGTTGGTCTTTTTTTACTTAATTAATGCTATTTTTTTGAGCTAATTTAAAGTGCTCATATTATCAAGGGGTCAAGGTAATACGAGTACTTTTGCTACTTTTTTAAAACCTCTGTGTTTTTAAGAAAAAATGTCAAGTGCCCAAATATCTAAATAGATTATGAATAGAGATCCTTAAAAATTGTTTTATTGCAAAAATTTTGGATCCAGCATATTTATTTTTGAAAAAATTCCAATTTTTGCTTAAGGTGCTCATATTACCTTAATCTACCCTATTAGGAAATCCTTTTTCTAAAAAAACCTCAACAATGCAAAAAATACACGGAAAGCAATACAAAAAATAGATAACATAATATATATAAAAAAAAAATATCAAACCATCCGCACCAAATAAATCTTGCATTTTCAAACCTAATTGTAACACTATCTCAGACAGTAATACCGTTGCTCACATTTTCAACAACTGCTATAAAAAATACAATGCCCACCCAAATGTAAAAAGATTTCTTCTAAACGTATTTTCTCTGGCTATTTAAAAAATTTGATTTTTTTTTTAATTCAGTGACCGATAATAAGATTTCTGATTTAATAAAAAAATACACTACAAAACGGTATAAGTTTAGGTCGAAATAGAATTCCCACACACCTTCTTAAACTTATTTCTAATGTTATTGTAAGCCTTTCTGTAACATATTGAAAAACATATTTAGTTAAGGCTAGTTTTATTGCGTATTCCGTTGCACATTCTTCCATCTAGTGCAATATCTGTCCGCTTCTTTATGGTATCTCTCTAATTCGACTTCTTTTGACTTTTACTCGTTTATTTAACTCGTTTTTCTTAAACTCACTGACTTTCAGTCTGCAAACCGGGTTGTAATGCTCTTTAGTGAGCTAAAATTGTCTTCGCAGGCCTATGTATGTGGCCTATATATGACAATTAGCCATATATAGGCCAAATACACAGATGACTTTTTCCAGATGTTTTTAAGATAGCCAAAGTAATTGCTATCCATTAAACTGGTTCTCTAATGGACCACACAAAATAATGATCAATTTCTTTTTTTAATCTAACATTAGCAAAATATTTGAAAAAGCTATGCACAACAGAATTTATAGCGGAGTTATGTCTCTTCAAACATTAGTATGGATTTTGTAACAAACATTCGACAACTCGCGTACCTAATAAAATAACTGAAACTATAAGAAAAGCTCTTGGTAATAAACTTTTTGCATGTGAAATTTTTCTTGACTTAGAGAGAACCTTTAATTCTATTGGTCAGTCCATCCTCCAAAGTAAATAGGAACACAACGGTTTACGAGTTAATGCTTTCCCATGGTTTTTATCATATCTTCTTAATAAATCGCAATTTGTCTCCATCAATAGTACTAAATCTTTCCCAATAAAATGCTTTACATGTGTACCCCAAGGTTCTATAGTAGCACCATTATTTTCCCTTATTTTTATAAGTGATTTTAATATCTTTCTAAAACTTTACAGCTTACCATTTTGCCGACCATACCAACTTACTTTTGAAAAAATGATACCAACAAATCATGAAAAAAA